AACAATGTAATTGCAAAAATGTTTATAATTTAAAATTTAACTTTTTGATTATAATAAATTATAAAGTAATTATACAACTTTATTAAAATATAAAAAGAAAGTATATTAAATAAAATTAAAAATGTTTTAAAAAAAAAATAGACAAAAAAAAAATTTTTTTAAATATTTTATTTCGTTTAATTTGATTGATTGACCTGATGTTGACCTGATCTGATTCGAAGCTCTAAAATTGATGCTATAAATTTTCGTAAACTACGTTAATCTACCTGTAAACTTTCAAAATTCTTGTATTATCGTAAATTTTACAAAATATTACATTGTAATGTTACGAAATACTATGCTGTAAACTTTTGAAATTCTTATATTTTCGTAATTCTATATAATATTACACCGTAATGTTACGAAGTACTATGCTGTAAACTTTCGTATAGTTTACATTCCATAATATTACGTAATTTTACATCGTAATGTTACAGAATATTACGAATATACAATTTATATAATCTTACGTAGTTTCATAAGTTTTTGTAATATTACAGAATGTAAGTTTACGCAATATTATGTCCTATTAAATTTACTGATAAAAGAATATTTTTCAGAAGATCATTCTTATGAATATATATGAAAAAACTAGGTAAATTAAGAAATAATATGTTGATTAATAATATTTGAAAAAAAAAATCTGATTTTTTCAATTTAAGATTACTTATTTTAATTTCTTTTTATGATCATTTGATTGATTTAGTTAAATAAGAATTTAATATATCAAGCTATACCTGATAGATTAATATTTAAAATTCAACTACTTATTGCAATAAATAAAAATTTAAATATAAAGTAAATAATATTTATTATAATGATTTGTTATAATATAATTCAAGTATATTTATTTTTAATAATTAGATGACAAATGAAATTCATATGTTAATCCAGCTAAAAAACATCTAATTCTTTGATACATTCATAGGTGAAAACAATATGGAAAATAATTTGATGCTGATTTAATTTGTAAAGCTTTTAAATATTTTATTTTCACCGAAAATAATGGTAATATAGATGATATGATAATCTTTAAATCTTTTTACAGAAGACTATAAGGAGAATGACCAAAATAATGAATTTTCGGATGAATTGAATCATAATAATTTAAAAGGAAATTTAATTTGATTTTATATTAAATACTATTTTGTATGATGGATTATGATGCGATATTTTTATAAAATCTAATATAATTTGTCTTTTAATTAATAAAGATATTTAAAAAATGTTTTATTAATAAATTTTCGATAATTTTTATGAAAAAAAAATTTCAAAAATTCTCCTAGTATAATACCAAGTATTATCCCAAAAACCGGAAGGGTATTACACGTTCCAGACTAATAATTTAAACCTTTTTCATTTATAAGTAAAATATAAAAATTAAATATTAAAATTAAAATTCTATATTAATTCTATTAAATTATGATTCTTTAAAGTATTAACTAAAATACTAATTTATAAATATACTAATGATACTATTGAATTGATATATATAATATGAAAAATAATATTTATATTACTTATAAAGTTTTAATATCTAAAATCAAATTTATTACTAAATTAAATTAATAAAAATATAAATAATCACTTAGATATGCAGTTATATATTATATACAATTAGTACTAATGCTATTGATATAATTTCACAATAAATCGAACCCACATACTAGACATACCACAAACACACCTCTTTATTTATCACATACCAAGAAAAAAATATACTCTATTCCAAAAATATTCAACGATAATAAAAATAATAATTATAACCTTTATAAATAATTCGATAAGAAAGTGGTTTTTTTGATTTAAATATTGCGAAACTAATATATATTATTTATTTTTTTTTTTTAAAAAAATAAAAAAAAAAAAATAATAATAAAAATAATATATATGTAGGTAGCAAAACAAATATAATTTGGTAGTACAAGGATAATACTAAATACAGTTTAGATGCAAAAAAGAATTGTTTAAAGAATGTTTAAAAATATATATAATTTTTAAAAAAAAAAAATATATCATGAGTTAAATTATAGAAATACAAATATTATCCAACACTCCCGATTCATAAACCTGATTCCTGTCGACTATCTTTTCTCGTTAATGTTCGTTTTTTCTTTGGTTTAGGCGTAGTTTCACCTGGCCTTTTATCTGTAAAGCAAATATTAATCAATATGAATTCTATATAAAATATTTAAGAATACAACTACTTACTGTTAAGTAGAGGAGATTTAACAGACTTTGACGTTGGTGAATCGGTTTTTATATTAGTATTTTTAGTATTTGACGTTGATGGCGATGGTGTTGGTACATCAGTATTATTAGACTGTTGTTGTGTATTTTCTATATTTGTATTGTCGTTTTTTTCTTTTGGTGTCTTTGCAGTAGGCTCAGGTGGTGATGGACCAGGTGTTGGAGGGGTATGATTCGGTGGATTTATAATTGTTTGCGATTGTTCAGGATTTGTTAAGGCATATAGAGTTTCTAACATATATTGAAAAATTTGTCGTCATTTCTTATTAAATAAAAAAAAATAGATAATAGGAATTAATAGATTACTTACGACGCGGACCTTTATTTGAAGATATACACTTTTCTATTAAATCGTGTAATGTTACAACACTTTCCGTTAACTATTATAAAAATCAAATAATTATCCGTATATGCATACAACATCTTTTTTTAAAAAAAAATTATATATATATTATAAAATAAAATATACCTCCAAGCACCTTAACGTCTTTAATGTTATACCCAATTGATTAATAGGACTATCGCGGGAATTAAGTTGATATCGAGGCACAAATTCCATGTGCTTTTCTGTAAGAAACTCAAAACAGTCTATGTTCAAACTACTAGTACTTAGTCTAACCTTTAGTTTTCCTGAAGCCACAACCTGACAATAAAGTCATAAAATGTTATTAATAACATAATAAATCGGAACCAACTATTAATGAGTAAAAATAATTTTTATACCCTTGATCCATCTTCATAATTATATATCATTGATGCTTTTGCATCAACTGTAATATTAGTTGCATAATTATTAATTGGGGGACCCAGGCTTTCTTTTAGGTTATTCAATGTTAATTGTATTGAAGTGACTCCTGATTCATAATTTACTTGAAAAAATCTTGAAATTACAGGATTTGGTATTTCTTTATTACGAAAAATGATAGATAGTGATGAATATTAAAATTTCAAAAAAAAAATAGAGAACGAATAAAGCAAAAATTAAATAAAATTCTGACCGAAAACTCTATTTTTTCCTGTTTCACGATCCCATAAACCATATATGATAAATCCATCCTCTGAAAAGAAATTTGATACCATTAATTTCCAATGACTTATGTCTTTGTTTTTTTGTGCATTCTACGAATAAACAGAAGATTAAATATAATTAATTTGCATTAATAACAAATAGAATAATAATATATAAACAATGTTAAGCTAATTACTTCACAATTCAAATATTCACTAAACAAAAGCACTCTTAAAATGCCTCTTCCATTGAATCCATTAGGCCTATTATTGTTGTAGTTTTTTTAGTTAGGTATGGATAAAGAAAAATGTAGAGTATCATTAATTTTCCGAAGTCCTATACAATGATTCAAGTCGATAATATGTTATGAGCTAAATTATTAAATAATATAAAATTTAAAGAACTTCACCTCGGAAGGTAGACAGGGTTCCGACTAACACACAAAAGGAAAAAAATTGAAACGTAAGTTACACACAAAAAAAGCTAATTTTAAATGTAGCAAAATAAGGTATACTTACGGGATCGGAGGTGAGGGAGTTTGACTCATAGACATTTGCAATTGTCTTTGGTTATTCATATGATTACTCATATTTGCAGCGACCATAGTTGGAAACCCAAGACCAAAAGTTGTCATAGCAGGGTTAAGTGAGGGTGGTGGTGTCTGTCCCATTGCCAAGTGGTGCATCGGGGTTAAAACTCTAGAGTTATTTGGCATATCAACCAAACCAGTGATACCTCCCCCGTACGCCGGGGGATTTAGGTTAGCCATGTTCGACATCAGTGGGGTAAAAAAAAAAAAAAAAAAAAAAAAAAAAAAAATAGTTCTTGGGAAAAAGGACAATACAAATTATAAAGTGGTTAAATACTTGATCTAGTTTACAACTAAATTTACGTTGGAGCCTCTTTATTGCTTGTTTTAGTATAAATTCAGAAAGTAACAGCTGTTGATTTGGTTATTTGTATCCAATCACAAGTGACGATCTACCCTGAGTTTATCAAATAATAATTTTTTTTTTTTGGATTAAACACGAATTTGAATTTACGATCTTAAGTTCTTTCAGTCTTGTTCGTGTCGAAATTGACTTATTATTTGTCAAAGCCTTTTTAAATTTAATTTAAAATGGGTAAAAAGGACAAGAAGGGGAAAAAGAAAGTTGAGGACGATTGGTTTGTATGAGATAACGCGATCAAAAATTTTATTACAAATTTAGAATCGAAGTTGACCTTTTGGTTTAAATAAAATATTTTACATTCTTAGGGAAGAGCAAGCCAAGCCAGAGCTTTTACATGAGGAAATTGTCAAAGTGAATAGAATTGAACCAGAACAAACACCTGTAGTTGAAGACGATGAATTTGGAGGATTAATGGCGCAGATATCTAAAGTGTCAAAAAAAGACAAGAAAAAAAAAAAGAAAAATACTGTAATGGATGAGGATGATGCTGATTCGCAAATACTAGAAGAAGATTCTCCTTTAGATAAAATCCCTGTCGTTTTGACTGAAGTTCAAGCTGTCCAACCTGACGATTGGGTCGATGAAGAATTTGGCGCGTCGAGTAATAAAGGTAAAAAAAAGAAGGATGGAAAGAACAATGATGAAAAGGTTATAAAGGAGGAATCTATAGAAAAGGAAACACAAAATGATGATGATGGAGTAGTAAGAATATTAAGTAAAAAAGAAAAAGAAAAGTTAAAAAAGCAGAAAGAAAAAGAAAAGAGGAAGGCTGAAGCAGATAAGAAAAAAGCTCAGTCTTCAACTCAAAAAATTGTTGAGGTAGAGAAGAATGACGACATTAAAGAAGTGCAAGAGGAACCTAAACCAGCACCACCACCTGAATTACCACCTGAAGAGGAGGAAGAAGACGATGATACAAAATCAAAGAGTAAAAAGAAGAAGAAGAAGAAGAAGCCAGAAGAAGAAAAGAAACCTGCCGGTAAAAAGAACGCTCAGCTGGCTGCAATTAGGAAAGCTTTAGAAGCTCAACGGTTAGTATTAAATCAGGTATTTTTAATTACCTGATAATGACTTGTTCGTTAACAAGATTTAATTTTCGTTTTAGCGCTGAAGAAGAAGCGAGAAAGAAAGAGGAAGAAGAACAACAAAGGAAACTTGAAGGTATATTAAATGATTATAATCTTGTTGAATAGTAGTAACACAATTAATTTTCATGATTATTATAGAGGAGCGTAAACGTATAGAGGAAGAAGAGCGGCTAAAGGAAGAATCCAAGAGAAGAAAAAAAGAAAAAGAAAAGGCAAGTAGTCAAAGCACATCCTCTTTAACCACTAGAATTATAACGATTATACATAATATTTTTAATTATTCTTTCATGCATCTTAATAACTTTCAAATAGGCAAAAAAAGAACAGTTAAAAAAAGAGGGGAAATTGTTGAGCAAAGCTCAGATGAAGAAAAAACAGCAAGATCAGTTACGATTACAACAGATGATGGAAGCTGGTCTCAAGATCGAAGGACTTAATCAAGAAGGTGAAACGAAACCAAGGAAGGTTATATATACTAATAAAAGGAAACAACCAAATAAACAACGAGCAACACAGATTGAAGCTGAACCTTCAACTAAAGTGGAAGAGTCTATTGAACTTGTGAAAAATAAAGTAGAAACTAAAGGAGGTTTGTCTTGAGTTAATTATTTGAGACAAAACATTCATAATGTTAGATTTGCTAATTATTTCAATCTTACAGTGATAGAAGAGGAGTGCCAGGAAAAAGAACCGGAAAAAGAAAAAGTGGAAATTACCACAAAGGTACTTCATGTAGAAGTTAAAGAAAGTTGGGAAGAGAGTGAAGATGAGGAAATTAAGAGTACTAGAGTCGAAGAAAAAGAAAGTGTTAAAGATCAATGGGATCAAAGTACTGAAGATGAATCTCCAAAACCCAATACTCCGCCACCGACTCCCGTCACAAACGTTGAGGAAACAACTGTCAATGTTAAATCTCCTGTTAAGAAATCTGTAAAAGAGCAATCCGAGACGGAAACCGAAGAATCTGATAATTCTGAAACGGAAGACAGTGAAGATGCAACAGAAAGTGATGAAGAATTAACCGAACATCAAAAGCAATTGATGAAACGTAAACAAGTGGCTGCTGAACGTCGTAAGAAACGTCATGAAGAGGCTCTCGCCGCCCGAAGCAAAGATGATCTTCGTTCTCCAATTTGTTGTATCTTAGGGCATGTTGACACTGGCAAATGTTTCGGAAGAGGCACTCCTATCTTGATGTATGATGGTAGTGTTCGTGCTGTTGAAACGATACGTTCAGAGGAACAAGTAATGGGTGACGATAGTACACCTCGAAATGTTAGCGGTGTTACAAATGGGAAAGGACTTCTTTACAAGATTATCCCAACAAACATTTCTTCCGCTCAACCATTTGTGTGTAATGATGCACATATTCTTGTTCTTAAGATTACGTCATTCCCACGGATACAACACCTGGAAAGTAATGAGCAAAGTCAATTGTGTCTTAATTATTTAACTTATGATAAAAGTACAAATTTGGTTAAAAAACTAGATAAGTTTTACAGATATCCGACAATTCTACTTCCAACCAAATATCATGCAGAAAGAGCTGCATATAAGGATTTAGAATTGTTAAACTCTAATAAAAATCCAACTATTAGTAATGAAGATTTGGAAACGATTCTAGTAGATTTCATCTGGCAACCTTCAGTTACGCAATTCTTAAATTGTTCTCCAGAAATTCGAGCTGCTGCCAAAATGTTCATACCAAATAGTGTTCGCTTTTCAACTCGTGAAGGAGCATTAGCAAAGATAATTGAACGCGTTATTGGGTCATCTATTACCGATGACTTTGTTAGATCCTGTGCCTGGTTAATTGGTTATTTCATTGGTACAAAGCAAGCTAAATGTAAACACAGTAATAATTATGATGATATTTCGATGTTTTTTCAAGAAATTATATCGTTCATTAAAAATAAAATTATTAATCAAGAAACTTTGGTTTCTTTGTTTTACGAACTTGGTATCTTACGAAGGAAGGACATTCCAGAGATTTTGATGTATGAAGACGTTGATTCAGTTCGTCTTCAATTGATAGCTGGAATGATTGATAGTAAAGGATCATGTAATTCTCAGGATGTTATTGAATTGACATTTATTGATGATTATAATACCCAAAACTTTGCTAGGCTCGCCCGTTCTTGTGGATTACGAATTAATATTCTTAATTCTCAGAATGTTTGCGTTATAAATAACGCTTATATAATTCCTTCAGTTTTTCCTCGATCTAATTGTATAATAAATCCTAAGGATAGACATGATCAGCTTTGGGAATTTCAAGTTGAAGAGCTTGGGATTGGTGAATATTTTGGATTCGTAGTTGATGGAAATCATCGCTTCTTGCTAAGTGACTTTACGGTAACGCATAATGTAGGTATCAGAGAATTTTTTTTTATTTTTTTACATATATTAATTTCTTATTCTTAAATTTTAATAGACAAAGTTGTTGGATAAAATCCGACAGACGAACGTTCAAGAGGGTGAAGCTGGTGGTATCACACAACAAATAGGTGCGACTTACTTTCCTATGGAAACTATTAAAATTAAAACCGCTCCTTTAAACAAGGTTAACTAAATAAGATTTACTTGAATAGATTGTATATTATTTAATTTTTGGTAATGAATAAATATAATATTTAACTGATCAAAACTTACCACTATTTACAGGATGGCAAACAAGAATATAAACTTCCGGGTTTGTTAATTATTGACACACCTGGTCATGAATCATTCACAAATTTGCGTTCCAGAGGTTCCTCTTTGTGTAATATAGCTATTCTCGTGGTTGATATTATGGTAAATAAATATATTTATATTTTGGAAGAAAATTTAATATATACTAATCGAATAATTTTGATCAACAGCATGGTTTAGAACCACAAACTTTGGAATCATTAAAATTACTACGGGATCGTAAAGCTCCTTTCATAGTAGCATTAAATAAGGTTAGGACTTAGTATATTCACTCACTTTGATTAAATACATGCTAATAATAAAATAATTTTCTTTAAATCAGATTGATCGTATGTATGATTGGAAGCCTACACGAGATAATTCTTTCCTTGATTCTTTTTCTAAACAATCGGAAGCTGTTAAACGTGAATTCAAAGATCGTGTTGAGAAAACCATCTTGGCCTTTGCTGAACAGGTAGGAAATCTATATCTAAACATAGTCGATTTCTTTTTACAACGATTTCTTACGAAATTTTCTTTATGTTTATATCAGGGACTCAATTCTGTTTTGTACTATGAAAACAAGAATTATGCCAAAAACGTTTCTCTTGTTCCTACGTCAGCAATCACTGGAGAAGGTATTCCTGATATGCTCATGTTACTTGTAAATTTAACGCAATCAAGGATGAGCAATGAGCTGATGTATTTGTCAGAATTGGAGTGTACTGTGTTGGAAGTTAAAGTTATTGAAGGTCTTGGCACAACTATTGATGTAATTTTATCTAATGGTGTATTAAATGAAGGTGATAAGATTGTTTTATGTGGTCTTAATGGACCCATAGTTACAACAATCCGTGCTTTATTAACGCCACAGCCATTGAGGGAACTTCGAATCAAATCCGCTTATGTTCATAATAAAAGTGTGAAAGCTGCTCTTGGTGTTAAGATTTCTGCGCAAGATCTTGAAAAAGCGATTGCCGGTTCACGCCTTATGGTTGTTGGACCAGATGATGACGAAGATGATCTTAAAGATGAGATTATGTCTGATTTAAAGAGCTTGCTGAGTTCAATTGATAAATCTGGTAAAGGTGTATGCGTGCAAGCTTCTACTTTAGGTTCTTTAGAAGCTCTTTTAGAATTCTTGAAAACCTCCAAAATTCCGGTATCTGGAATTAATATTGGACCAGTTCACAAGAGAGATATTATGCGATGTGCAACTATGTTAGAAAAGGCTAAAGAGTAAGTATTTTGCGCTTCATAATTCGTCAAAATATATCTTCAATATATGTTGAAAAAAAATTAATTAATCTCTACTTTATTGATCACTAACAGGTTTGCGGTCATTTTATGTTTCGATGTCAAAGTAGATAAAGAAGCACAAGAAATAGCTGAAGAATTAGGTATTAAGATATTTAAAGCCGATATTATTTATCATTTGTTTGATCAATTTACTGCTTACCATCAGGTAAAATGTTTATTAATTTTTTATTATCATTTGTGTATAATGATGAATGATTAAATATCTTTGAAATTTGTTTATAGGAAATTGTGGAACAGAAACGTAAAGACCAAGCTCCTCAAGCAATATTTCCTTGTATTTTAAAAATTGTCCCAGGTGCTATATTCAATAAGAGAGATCCTATTATAATTGGCGTAGATGTTGTTGAAGGTGTATTGAAAACCGGAACACCTCTATGCGTTGTGAAAACGGACCCTACAACTAATGTATATATAATTATTTACCAATCAAAATGGTTTTTTTTTTGCATGTTCCTTATAATTTACTTTATAATCTCAATTTCATATATAGCAACGTGAAATTATTAGCCTTGGTAAAGTGTCTAGTATGGAACAAAATCATAAAACAGTTGAAATTGTAAAAAAGGGCCAAGCTGGTGGTGGTATTGCAATCAAAATCGAATGTGCTATTTATGAAAATCCAAAAATGATTGGGAGACATTTTGTAGAAACAGATGAAATATATAGTAAGGTAATACATCGTTTTTACTTTATATATTTTTGAGTTATTATTATTTGCGTTTTATTAATGTGATTTATATTAGATTTCACGCGTTTCTATCGATGTATTGAAAGAATCATTTAGAGATGATTTAAGTAAAGAAGAATGGCATTTAATGATTAAATTAAAGAAGATATTAGATATTAATTAATTAGCAAATTTCGTAATTTACTAATTAATTTTATAATTTACAAATATAATATTCAGATTTGGAGTTTTATTAATTACAATAATAACCAATAACTTGTATTTAATCATTAATTTATTAGGTTAATCATTTCTTTCTTTGCTATATATTTTATTTTAAATTACATTTTTTGTTTGAAATATCTTTGCCTATTATGATTATTTTAAAGAAAAATCATAATTATTATAAAATTCTAGTTAGACTGATATTATTAAACGATTATAATTACTTCGTTAATTTATTTTCCTATAATAACAGCAAGTTTTACAATTTTACTTACGCTTCATTTCTGTTTTTTTTTAATTGAAATTTTCTAATTTTAATCGTAGGGCTGGTGATATACAATCACATGATTTTAACATGTGACTTAATCTTCCAAAAAAAGCTCAGGTCATGTGATTATATAATCTGTCCCGACAAATTCTGCAGTCACATGACAAAATCTGTCATTAATTCAAAAATTTAAGTTTGCTAGGAAAATAAGGCTTAGCATTTTTTATTAAAATTTTAATTTTTATTGCAAAAATTCTTTGTGTATGGCTTTAAATTTGCAATTTACATGTATTTCAATTTACATGTATTTTTGCCTTCTTAGCAAGTTTACTTATAATATCAAAAAGGGTTTTAAATGCCATTTTTTAGCAAAACCAAACATTTTGAAAAATATATATAAAAAGTCAAAAAATGAAACTAATTAAACTTGTAGAGTATGTAAAATATGGATAATTTATGATTTTAAAAAATATATAATTCGTTTTTAAGTTATATTAAAAAAATTTTTTTTCATTTTTATTTTAAGAAAAATTGGTAAAATATCACGTAATTGCAGAATTTTTTGGGATACTCTTGAGGCAGGGTTGGGAATTTTGTATATACTAGATAAAATTACCACTGTACTTGTACTGTATTTGTACTAATTTTTATATTAATTATTATAATGTACTAACTGT